TTATTTTATGAAAAAGCAATAAACCGCGATACTGTTCCATTCATATATATGTATATGCTGTACTATCTTAGAGTAATAAATTATTCATGATAATCAAGAAACGGAAACACGAAAGAAGACTTAAGAATTATATAAATGATTCAAAACGTAATTGATAAACATAGGGTAAGCAATGTTAATATTGTACACGAAAATATATTTAATTTCGCGTTTATGGAAATTGTTTTCCGTTTATGTGTACACACTGCGTCGTTTTAATAAAATTCGTTAGTATTTAGAATATCCAATAGACGAACCGAAGAGACATTAATTTCCAATCGATTTACTGCTATAGCAATTACGCGCGTTACATGCAAATTCGATTTTACCCCGCTCGCTCGATTGCTTAACATAAGTTGCAGCATCACGTCTGCGAGTATTTATACTACATCTCATTGGTGAAGTGGTACATCAATTCAGCACGCCGACGTACGCGGTGTTTTGTTAACGGTAAACGGTTATTGGCCAATAGTGATTTAGCGGCGACCGACGAAAATTCATTCCCATTAAAGAATGATTGACGTAACTGACGTTTATATGAGCTTTTACTCGTGACGTACGACACAGTCGTAACGGTCATGATATTAACTGCTTTCCTTCAAGAAGCAATAATTTACGTGATACGCGATGCACAATGTGCGCCGCGTTTTTACCCTTTTAACACTTCGCACTTCAATACTTTTTTTTAACTCACTTCACTGGTAACGATACATTTTTTACGTATACGTATACTTATCGCGGAATATTACTTGAAAGAAACGACTTTTTGTTTTGTTATCCATGGCACGATATAAGAATGGAAAGATTAGCATTTCTGACGTAGTTTCGGATGACTATGTACTAAAAAACTAAACATACACACATACATATACATATACATATACATATACATATATAAGAATTATGTAGTTACTATATTTATATTAATTTTTTTAAAATTATTTCTAACACAAATCTAATAATATTCATAGACATTTCTTATACGTACATCATAATACAACATTTCGTTTAAAAAAAAAAAACTTATTTCAATATCAATTAACTTATAAAAAAACTGAACAGTCTGTTATAATATTAGATTAATCATCAAGTGCAAATAAAGATTGTCTAAATATTTTTATCAAGACTCAGAATATAATAGTGATAAGTCTCGTGCAAATAATTTCACTTTACTTTTTTCAAGAATTCCTAGTTTGCATTTTTACCATACGTTTAAAACAACACGCATGAAAACGATTCTCGGTGAGAGATTCGTGGAAAATTGCGCAAATATAAATACGCAAAGCTGGGAAAAAAAAACGACATCATATACATTCGCGGCGAGTTAAAAATCACGACGCTTCCGGTTTATGTTTGCCATTTCATGACCGTCGAGACGAGAGCGGCGTCCCTGTGTTATATTATTGCCGCGTATTTATGCGTGCGTAAAAAAAAAAAAAAATATGAATAACGCGCTAATACACGCGTGTGGCCCTTTGGCCCGTCGCGTCGTATGCCGCACCCCTTACACAATGCGCTTTTACGTGGGAAAGCGCCCGTTTTAAAGCGATCACGTATGTCGAAAACAAGCCCTGATATTTTTTTCCCGGAATTATCAATGATTTTTGATGACCCTTTATATCGTTTCGACTTTAAAACGTTTCGCAACTTTTTATGTTGCACATCCATTTCACACGGATGCAATTCTGATGATGCTATATAAGGATCGCGAATTCCAAAATTAATTAATAACGACAATAAAACAGATAACATAAAAACATATAAAAAAATGTAAAGATAACAAAAAAAACTAACACTTGTATGATATTTTCTGAATGCACGATAATTCAGAGTTACTGCAATAATATCTATGTATAAATGCACACACAATCAATTCCTCCATTATGCACACGTAATTTCGTCAAGTTTATTACTATTTGTATTATTCGTATGCACGCATATGTCGAAGAGGAGAGGGAAGGAGGGAGAAAGGGAGGGGGAGAGAGAGAGGGAGAGAGGGAGGGTGGGAAGGAAGGAGGGAGAGAGAGAGAGAGAAAATCTGATTAATCTGTAAAATATATAGAAGCTATTCTCTAAACAAAAGTACGGCGCTTATTTTCTTTCTTTCTTTCCCCATCAACTATCGTTGGTTCGCGGATAGGTTCAGTTTACACCTTTTAGCAAAGCCACAGTTATGCAATGCTACTGCAGGCGCGATATAGAGAACGGAGAATGGAGAGCAGGGGAAGAACGACAGAGGGAGAAACGTGGAGCGCGCGGAAATGCAGATATTTGCCAGGAAATTGATAACTCGAATAAACTCGTCGCAAAACATTCAAACAGGCTGCCAAACGGTATACGATTGTACATACACTCCAATCCCCGGCTGCGAACCAAACATCGCATATCACCCCTCCCCCTCTCAGCCGATGTCGTACACGCGTTCGCGGGAGTGACGGTATTCTCCGCACCGCACCGGCGAACTGATTACAGACCGATTTGCTGGGTGATTTTGTTTCAACTTCTAATCATCAAAAGTCGCTGGCGATCTTGTTAGCGACTGCGATTGAAGAATTAATTACATCGTCTCGTGTTTTATAATAATAAGAAATAACAATAAGATATAACAATAAATCTCATTGGAACATATTCGGAAGCGTGAATAATGTAACTATTGCATTAAAATGAGAATTAATTAAAAGATTATAGATCTAATCTCATCTCGCAGGAACATGTATCCGTGATTTTTTTTCTATCAATAATAAAATTTAGAAATGATAACGATTATCGAAATGACGATAGTCGATTATAGCAACTAGTGGGATGCGGCCAAACACACGCATTATAGACGCGAGTCAATATTAACTTGATATTTTTGCCGCGCCATTAGAGTCAAACAAACGCAATGTAAATTGCGCGATACAGTCGCGTATGATTATTTGCCATAAATAGCGATGAAGCACGAGCGCGAGTGTATGTCAACCGCGTCTCTATATATGCACCCTTCACGGAGCGGCTCAAAAAGGACGCGCGCGAGTGTATAATGAAAATACCGCACTATATATGGAGTATAAAATAGGTATGTACGCGGCCAATTCGCATAATAGCATTCGACGTTCGAGATATCAAACAATATATTAATAATATCTCCGGCGCATCATGAATCATATGGTTAGCAATAAATTTTAACGCGTCAAAGGGATTTCAAACTAAAAAGAGATTCAACGCAACGATAAGAAATATTATATACATATGTTTCTTTAAATTTAGAACTTATCCAAATAATTAGCGCTAAAAAAAAACTCGTACGGAGTTTTCCGTAATTAAAATTGACTCTACGCTCTCAATCATGCAAATAATTTTCCGCAATGACTGTCCCCTGTTGCGTATAACGCAACGCGCGCCGTGCACTGCCACAAAGTCGGTACCAACTAATTAGCAACGCGCTAACGTCGCGTTTCGAGCAGTACGGTGTGTGCGCGACGCGGCGCGGCGCGGCGGTCAAAGGGCGTCGTTATCTCTGCACCCAACTACGTGGAAATAAAAAAAAAGAGAGAGAGAAAGAATAGAAGCGAAGAGGAAGACTTTTCGTGCCGCTCCAACCCCTTTTCTCTTTCGCAATCAAACGAAAATTAGTCGACGAAAAGCGAGCGAACTGACCATCGTCGCGCGCTTTTTCGCCGACGGTTAATTTGTACGGAGAAATGTACGATTTCTCACGAAGTTGTTGAGTTCGGCGCGCACAATCTGTTTTTTTTTCTGAAAGAGAGATTATTACCATTTTATATTACTAATAAACAAAAGTATTAATCATTTCTTGAAGTCATCAAAAACGTTAACAGTCTGTATATAAAAATTATCATTGAAATAGTAACTATTGCACAAACGGCATAAATAAGTACAAATTAAAAAATACTAATCAAATATAGCAATCATAATCAATGCATTCTTTTCATAATAAAATGGCAAAATCGAATATTTTATTATCTGTTTGGATAATCTCTTTAACAATTTGTTCCAAGCTAAATCAAATCCAATTTAAATTCTTCAGAGAGTATTACAACGTGTTATATTATTAAAAATGATAATTTATCTCGACAATGCAAATCTAAAAGAAGGCGTACATTGAAGAGCACGGAAAAAGCGGTCAGCGACGCTGCGACCGGTGAAAAATGGCTCTATCTTTCGGTAATTAAGACAACGGTGAAAAATAAACAAACGCACGGTAGAGAGAGAGAGAGAGAGGAGAGAGAGGAGAGAGAGAGGGCAAGCCCTCCGCGCGCATGAACGCGTCTCTTCAGGGCTGTCCGTGGCACAGCTGTTACGGTTGCCAGGGGCTCAAATAAACGACTTAGGTAGATTAAGCATACAAATCTCGACGATTCTGCTCCTAATGTAGCCGGCTTTAACCCGCCCGTATGTCAGGGTCAACGCGAAAAAATATACGGGTTAGCCACGCCGCGCGCGCCGACCCTGCCCGCGACTCGAGAAAGATCGCGTTCTAAAACAATACGGCACATGTGTTCCTTTCTTATCTCTTGGAATACATACCCGCGGTATGTTTTGAAAATTTCGGATAAGCAGCTGAGTTTATTTAACAGGGAAAATGTTTATGGTGAACGGAGAAAATCCGCATGGTTATCTTCAAGATTACGTCAATAGGGGTATGTATGTCTTACGGGTTGAAGATTTCAGTGACATTTTATGCTTCTCTCGGAGAGATGTCTCATTAATATATTACAAAAGCTCAGCGAGCAACCGCTATTAGTGTTAAGAAACTGATATCAAAATCGAGCGACGAACAGAAATGATCAATACCAGCGAACAAATATCAAGCATGCGATAACGTAATGTAATTGAAAATCTTATGGAAAAGATCGAATGTTAATTAAAAATTCAAATACGAGTTAGATTCCAGCGATATCGATATACCGTATTGATCATCATTATCCGTACGCAAAAGAAAGCAAGATACATGCATATTAATTGCACTCACGTCTATACGGCCGTCCCTCCTCCGGAGTGGATCGCTCGGTGTTCTCGGATCCCGGTGTGGCGTTGGCGTCACGATCTTCTTCGTCGGGTGTAGCACCGCGATTCGGCACGGAACCGGTACCGCCGGTGCCGGTGGGCGAGCGGCTCGCGGAACCAGCCGGACTTTGCGGCCCGCCGACTTCCTGGCCGGCCGCGGCGGCAGCGGCGGCCGCAACGGCCGCCGCACCGGATACAGACACCACCGCACCCCCGCCGGCGCCCGGTAGGGACGTGGGCGAGAACATGTTCGACATGCTCGAGAGCGAGCCGATGCTGGGTAGGCCGCCGTTCCCCGGCACCGCGCCGTTCCCGGTCTCGACCTTGAGGCACTTGCTGGGGGGCGCGAACGCGGACGGCACCAAGGGCCGGAAGCCGCCGAAGGGCAGTCTATGATCGAGCGGATGCAGGAATTGCGGCGGCAGATGCAGCATGTGATGCAGCCCGTAGCCCAGCGACGCCGCCGTGCTGAAGGGCACCTGCAGATCTTTCGAATCGGTCACCTGAAACGAACGGAAAAAGAAAAGGATTGGTAAGAGATGCAAACCGAGTGGCTCTTGCAACTGGATCCTCACAAATGCGACGGTTAAATATTTATACACAGCTTTTACATTTTAATATCAACATATCGTAAAGCATCATAAAAGCATTATAGGGATTAGTGAAATAAAAATGTAATAATATATTTTATACGAAAACAGCTTCTTTCTGTTAGTTACTTAATAGTCGTTCATTAATAGTTAATTAAGCGAATGTATGGTAATATGAGATTATACACTCTATCAATTATGTTATTATATAATTATAGGAAAAGAACAAGATATTCTTGAAACTCGAATATTCTATGTTTGGGACATTTCCAATATTAATATGATATATTTAAACATTGAGACATTGCAATTGATTTTACCTATAATACAAATTTTTCATATTTTATTTTATTAAAAAAATTTTGTAATCAATTTTACAATCGCCAGTTATAAGCCGTACGTATTTAATCTCTACTTTTCTATTAATTTTAGTTGCACGTACAAAAGAGATCCTGACGTTTACTTCCGGTTTCCGAGAAACCGCCCTCGTGTTATCAGACCCGACGGGATAACTTTATTTCGCGTATATACGACGAGCAAAAAAAATATTTGAATCGCGTAATTCGATAGCTCATTTGCAGCATGTGGGTATTTCCGCGCTTTCAGCTACGTCTGAATGGCATATAATATCAAAGCAGCGCGGTGGTATACTGTTAATAACGCGAAACCACTGTGTTATAATAATCCGTCAAAACCTGAAGCTCTTCTCGTCCTCCCCGCGGCTCGCCCCCTTTCCACCCCCGTGTACCGGTTGTATCATTCAATTCGCCGTGATTGACGAGTCTATTAAGCCGCATACTGAATGCTCGGCTGAAGCATCTAACGCGTTGGATTTTGTAACATTTATAATGCTAGAATTATCGGATCGTATTTAAACGTGGCCAAAGTAATAACGGTGCATTGTATTTCCTATATGCCTCGACTTCGTCGAGAAACGTAATGACGCGAGTGTTTCAACGCCTAATTATGCACAAGTACTTGGCGTGACATCGCATTTCGAAAATATTCAGAAAGTTATTTTTTAAATTCGTTAAATAAAAGGAAAACGTTGTTACGCTCGCGGTATTCTCAGTAACAATCCAAAGGAGATTTGACTTTAAAGGAAAGATTATTTACATTACTTTTATTATTTCGAATATTCCAGGATTATATCGCAATTTCATTTCACGTGGATTTTCAACAATGCAGGACTGACTTTTCCTTAACATAAAAACGTTAAAATGTTGTCGATATAATTATGCGGTAGAATTAATTATAAAGTTCAATATCAAATTCATCTTGGACCGTAAAAGCGTAAAGTGTTACTCGTCATCCCGCTGCGGCTAAGGGAACGCGGTATGAAAGTATCGAAATGATTTCATCGGCGGGAGAACGGACAGCTGGTTTCCGGATAAACATTTCATTCGGCCGATAATGACGCGGGCGATGAGTTACACGCGCGGGTATTAGTACGCCGCGATTAGTTTATTATTCTTTTATACGGGGAAATGAGGTTCGCGTTCGCCGGCCCCGGCATATTTGCGCCCGCGGTCCAATCAGTGATTTATTAGGTATTCATTATTATTTTAATTGCGGCCCCCGGCCCTTTTTTCCGCGATCGGTGTCGCGCGACGCGCGTCGCTTGCATATTTGCAATAATCTTTTATTTTTTTTGCCCCGCCTCGCCCTCCCCGCTTCCCGCTCGCTTCCGCGCGGGCGGGTAAAACGCGAGCGTATTTTGTCACCGCGCCACCACAATTAGGTTCGCCCCCGAAATTATCTCATTTTTTAACGATGCTGAATTTTGATGCAACCCATTCTCTCGCTGTCTCCCTCATTCCCCATCGCGCTATCTGCATCTACCGTTCCGTATCTGCATCGTGTTATCCGGACCCGATTGATGTCCCGCACGTATGAAAAATATTCAAGCATTTAAAAACGCTGCGAAATACGCTTATAATTAACCGCGACGCCCGTTAAATATTTGCGGCAATCACAGTTATGAGATAGAAATGTGTGCGATATAAAATTTGTATTTAAAAGACTCTTGTTATTATCGGAAGTTTAATAACGGTATTTTCGGTAATTCGTTATCGATATACGCGCGCTCGGCGATTGTGCCACGTATAAAATTTGGAAACAAATGTAAGAAAATTACAAAGGCTGATGGTAATGTCACCATTTTAACGTAATATTTTAATTGAAATATTGCTGTAAAATTAACGATTAATTTTCTTTTAAGATTAATAAACAGCTGCTCCGTGAACAATGCTTATAACTAATTCATGTTACGGATCACTATATGATCGTGTAAAAATACTTACTTTATTCCACTGGTAACAGTTTTAATTTCTCTGCTTTCAGTGCTTACCACACATGCTATGTATGTCAATGATGCACAATCTGCATGATATATGTTTCTCTTCAGACTCTAATTTGTATATTTCCACTTTTAACGGATATAAAAACAACTATTTGATAAACTAATTTTTATAGTTAAGCTTACACTTCTTAATTATACTCTTTCCACTTTATAAATTGATTCTAAACAGACACAAGGTAACAATTTGTTCGACGGAAGAAAGTTGCGCATCATTGACTTGATATTAACTGTTATTCGAGCATTCACATTTATACACACGCACACAATCGAATTTCTATTCATTGCGTGCATTAATTAGTGCTCGCGTGTGTAAAGCGGCACAGATATGTAAAAGCGAGATGAAAGTAATTCGAGCAATTCGACGGGCTCATCGAAATCAATGCGAGCAATTATTATTTTTTTTTTGTTATTTGTTTATTTTGTACATATTTCAAGTTACTTTTCTGCCAAATAGTGACGTATGTTACCGTCAAACACGATACGCTCGAATCATCGCGGTGCAGTTTCCGTTGCACATGATGCAAATGTGAAAATGATTTAACCCTTCAAATTCTCCGATAAATCTTGCCCCTTTCGTCGACTTCAATGTGGTTAAAAAATTACAGGAACATTACTTTTTTTCTCACATAATTACGCAACGTCCACCGTGCGCAATTCACGATAAATAGAGATAAGTATAGGTACATCGAGTTTCGATCTCCATTTATCTCTATTTATCGATTTATATTCTATATCTCTATTTATCTCTATCGTTTACGCAATCACATTTTCTTCTTCATAAAAACATGAGAATCTTAGATTGCGAGAAAATCGAAATATGTGAGAGACAAAGACTGCGTTCGGGGAGCACACTATTAGCGCTATTTGGTTATTCTATCCTTGTTCTACACTTGATGAGCGATAAAGATAGCATGATGCAATAGCGCTAATAGCGCGCTCCCCGAACGCAGCCAAAGGGTTAAAAGGCATTTCAGCGCGTTGCAGGTTGCAGGCAAGCGTAAATATAAGCGTAACTGCGTAAATGCAAGCAGATGCAGAGGCGTATAGGCATAAGGGTATAAGGACAATGGGACACTAACTTGTGGATTGAATGGTCTTTGCATTCTCAAGGCCTCAGGCAGCCCTCCGGCCTGCGAGAACACGACCAGAGACGGCGGCGGTAGGTGATTCGGTACGTACGCAGAATTATCCATCTAAAACATATATCGTCGTTTTCTTCCTTCTGTGCGTCGATTCTCGTCGATTAATCGTTTTCCTATTCTAGATTCTCGCGTTCGGCAACGCGAGACTCGAAGAGAATTTCGCGTGAACTCGGAATCTCGGGTACGCGACCGCGATAATCGGGCATACTTCATCGATCGCGTTTATATTGGTTCATCAATTAATAATTATTAATTGAATTTACAAATTAATCGGACCTTCGTGATTTTCATAGCTATGATGATATTATAGATATAGTTATGAATAGACTATTCCCCTCGCGCGATTTACGTTATATATACGTTTACTTCTCGATCGATGAATTTTCATCAATTTAATTTCTCATAGACCTTCTTTGTTTATTTTCCTATAAATTTTATAAAAGCGCACATGTTTTTTTAGCAAAGCTTTCTCAAAGAAGATAAAATCTAACTTAACAGAAAGTTTAATCTATTTTAGTTATAAATGTCTGTTAATCTTGATGATTGTTAAATTACTTTTTTTTAACAAGTTGTTAAAAGTCAATAGATAGTTTTCAATACTTAAATCATTGATGACAAATAATTCATAAAGACTTTGTAAATTCGTGTATTGAAATTTATACATAGTAGCATTAAGATACCTTATATAGATTAAACTATTTAAAGAATGCATATAAAAATGGTACGTGTAAATTTATAATTTAAACTCCACCGAATTAACTCCACCGTCAATTTCCATTTCTGATCTCTTTTACGGATTTTATCTTCATTAAAATTGCAATTCAAACAATTCGGATTTTATAATTTGAGAACACGCAAAAATGGAAATAAGAGGTCACCGATCGAGAAGCGAATTCAATAAATTAGCTCGGCTCGTCAATGAGGATTACGTCGTGGCGCATTAATTACATCGATGAGAATTACATCGTGTTTCCTCAGCGGAGTGAAATTATAATTTTATCAATTTCGTATTGGCACCTGTTGTACACAAAAGTAGTTTAATTAATTATAAAATAGTCAGATAAAGTCCAGCAGCAACCGACATTCCCTATTAATATAGTCTACGTTTAAAACTGTATTTGTGTGATTATTAACTATTTCTTTAAGGAGGTTCTACAGGTACTCTCTAGTCAGTTGAGAGATGAAGAGAAAATCTTCAAATTCGTCGATTCTAAGTATTCATAAAATATTTTCGTGAATTTTGATGACGTTAGAGCTTATATCATACCCATATTAGTCGAAGCGAGGAATAATTAAAAATATCGTGTAAGTGCTCGTTTGACTCTGGCGGCTTATAATGGAAGAAAATGTGGTAACGTCGCGAACTTGACAGTTCTGCTCATATGACCGTGGTTATTTCACAATTTCACATAATTCTAGAGCGAGTACTTCTCCGTAAGCGCTCGTAAACGTTAGGTGCTTAAGTTTGAGGTGCTGTCATACTGTGGTGCTGTACTGGCTGTACACTTTTCGCGCGGGTGCAGTCGCTGCGACATTGCCAAATCTCCCTTGTTATTCGAAGCACGCTACGTGAACTGTGATATGGCCTGTTTCAATAGCCAATATCACAAAATTTTACGCGATAACCCTTGTTTTTCTCGATATTTCTGAAAAGGTTAGATTAAGATCTATAAGAGCTCCGTTTTTTGAATCTTTGGTAGGTCGCCTTTATATAATTAATATCTCGTTTCCTGTCTCCAAGAGCCCCTCTGCCATATGTAGCTTATGTTAAAAACTGTGATTTCAAAATTCATTTTTGCAAATGTTTACACGGTAACCGATGCTAAAATTTTTCGAGCACTTTTCTCGCATCTCAATTTATACGTCCATGAAGTTTTTTCCAATTTTTAGATACATCCATTATCTGTAGAACCTCCTTAATTTATTACATTTCTCGAAAAATAGTTTCCTCTAGAATATTAGAATATTTGCCGCATATCGTGAAATTATTCTTTGAATATGTAAAGATCTTGGCAAAATCCAATGAAATGTCTAGAATCTCAGGTTCGCTCATTCTTACGGTAATTATTACAATAAAATTGTAAACTCACATAAGAAAAACTTCATTTTCTTAATTAAATTTTAAAGTCTTAGATCATTACAAATTCTCAGGATGCCTGATTTTAAACTTCTGACATTCCGCAATTTAGATTACGAGCATTTACAGCATATGAATTCTCAAGTTATCAATATGTTAAAATCTGTTCATTCTATTTTCCATTGTTGTTTAAAAACCGATAAATATACTGTTTAAAGTAGTAAATGTATAAAGGTGAACTATTAAAATCCTTAAAAGCTCACGTCACGCAAAACGGAAATATTTAACAACAATCTCGAATGTTATGACAGTCGCTGCAATTATCCATAAAAAATGAATAAATACGAGCGGATCTGCTCATAACTCACTCGATATTTTCTTTCCGCAAAACGCGATTTAATGGAACACATCAACGTGTCGTGGCACGAGATCGCGGTATACCGCGTGTATCATTAATTATCGCGATTGTCAATTAATCACCGGTGTTGGATCGGGTGTCGATCTGCCGACAATTTCTGCTACTTCTAACCTTTCAACTAGAAAGCTATTGAATTCGATCCGCGAGTAATTGCGCCGATCGATGCCAGATCGCCTTCGCTTTCGCGACAGCGATTGAACGATGCTTGCGCTCGATATAGAAAATCGCGCGTGCGAAATATTAACGGTAATAAAAAATGGTGAATATGTCAGTAGGATTGTGCATGTAAATGCTCATTTTTAGAAGTAGCAATCGAATTCGAAGCTTAATGTGCACAACAATTTTGCGAACATTGACTGGACAAAATACTTGAAGACTCTAATTTTTGTGTTTCTATAATATCAATTAATTTTTACTTCATCAATCTGAAATCACAATTAAGAATTAAAACAATAAAAAGTCTAAATCAAGAGTAAAAAAATATTATTTTCGTATATTTCTGCGTCGCTCGAATAACATAACTCTCTTGAGTTAAACTTTCAATTATTGAATAATGTAGAAGGATCAAATTACAATCAATGTAATATAGATATTGACTTTATCAGTCTATTAGGAATTTAGTATGATCAAAGTATTAAAGGTATTTAAACCAATAGGTGTACCCAACGTCTTATCATTTCATACAAAAAAAGATAAAGGCAATCGGATTGACAACTAATTGAAAACGTTATTTCGGGTTCAAATGAGTTTCGAGCCACTTCATGCACGAATCCTTTTATCTTTCGTGCGTATATTCAAATGCACTTACGCAATACCTCTGCAGAGTTTCATGTTCCCGCATTTGCAAAACGTAACCGTTTGACGCGCGTCTATAGATTTCTGACGATATCTCGTTATCACTTTACAGTATTGCAGGATTAATTCGATAATGTAAGTCGCATGTTACCAAATTTTGCTAAAGAGTTTTGTTAGTCGCATTAAAGAGATGCAAATCTCATGTCAATCGTTCATAAAACAGTCGGTTGACAGCTGCCAATATCTGTAACGTTTATCTAATCAGCCAATACGAATAGCGTAAATTTAGCGCGATCTGATATTAACGTTCGAATAATGATACGCGCGAATAAATTTTCAAGATTTCTGTACGGTAATCTAATGACATTTCCAATTTAGGGCTGGTGATTTGCTTCGAAGGCTTCGATATTCGATCCTCTAATTTTCGAAGCTTCGAAGAATCAAAATTATACAATTATTAATTAATATAATAGTAACAGTATCGCATTAGACATACATTTATAAAATTATATGACTAAATGCGAATAAAATTTCCAATGTTGCAATTGTGTCGCTTATGTCGCAAATATATATTTTTCGAAACTTCGAAGAGACACCTTAAACTCCGAAGATTCGAAGTTAACTTTAAAGCTTCGAAGCTATCGAAGAATAACAGCCCCAAATTTTTCGCAATCGTTCTACTTTTTTCGTAGCGTATCCGCGATAACATTAATCGATAACATTCTCATCGTCGTTGACGCGCGGAACTCTCGTCGACAGCAGGTGTACTCCGAAGCGAGATAATCGCGCGAGCCAAACGCTCTTCGGAGCGACGGTGTTCGGAGCATGTTCTCTCTGCAGACCACGACCACGACGTGTTCTCATTGCTCGAGCCGCGAAACACGCTCTCGCGACACGTAGCGCGCGGTACCACGCGAGCTCACGACAATAACGCGGGGCCGACGCGACACGACACGCGGAAACCGGGCAGGGATTCCGCGTGGCGCTCCCGGGCGCAGAAATTGACATGTTGATCACCAGCACGCGTACGTTTTCCTCGTGTGCACTGAGAAACTGATGCGCGGCGGCTAGCCGCGGCACGCGGCTGTCCGAGAACATTCACAGAAACCTCACAGGTCCCGCTGCTCGTCTCCGTCGCTGCGCGTTTCCACCAGACGCGAGTGCGACCTCGGCGACAGTAACAGTGTCAATGATGACGACGGCGGTGGCGGCGGCGGCGACGACGACGATAAAAACTCGCGGCGCATGGTCCTCACAAGAACGTTTTCGTTCGTTTTCGAAAAACGCGCGTCCGGTCTAACGTCGCCTCACCTAATCTGCAGGCGCGCGCAACGGCTGCCCGTGGTTGCCGTGGACGAGACGACAATCACGAAACCCGTCCGCAGCCGTCCGGCAGGAAAACAACGACGACGAGGACGGCGACGACGGCGACGACGGTCCGCGATCCTCCGAATGCGACACGCGCGCGAATCGATCTGCGGGTACCCCGCGGTGGAATACCGCGTAAAAGCACGGCGCGGGTAACCGCGGGTTCGAAAATTCAAATCCGCCGCGCCGCGTCCCGCCACTACTACGACCCGACAGGTCCGTCGACCTAACCTCAACCACGGCTGCGGTGTCCGCGACCAGTACCTCGACTGGCGACCGGTATCACCCCCGTGCTATGTAACGCACTGCTCGCGTCAAGAGTCAGGTGAATGAAAGAGCGACAGAAAGAGAGGGGGGAGAGAGACAGATAGACTGTCGAACGAGAGAGAGGGGGGAAAGAGCGAGACAGAGAATGACAGAACGGGAGGTACGAGAGCGAGCGAGCGAAGCGAGAGGGAGGAAGAGAGAGAGGATGCCGCCAGGCCCGTGCGAGCAACCTCGTGGACATGCGAGTGCAGACTGATTGGAGCGTGGAGTGTGAGGGTACTTACCCACGAGTCGCGGGATCGGTGGCGGTGGCGGAGGCGAGGAGGTAGAGGCGTGGAGGCACCGACCGGCGGCGGTGGCGGCGGTGGCGGCGGCGGTAGCAGCGTGCGCGTGTGTTTTCAGCCGCCATGACTGGCGCCACCGTAGCCGTTGTAGCTGACCGCTGGCTGCTCAGGCGTCGCCGCGCATGCGTGACCTGCGCAGTCGCGCGCCGCGCAGCCACGCGCGACGCTCGCCGCGGCTCTCAATTGCGCACGGGACGCGCAGCCAGCAACATCGCGCGGTGATTTTCGTGCGTCCGACGGTTCCCGCAAAACGCGCGCTCCGATTTCAGACAATGCCTCGGTGCCGTTCCCTGATGGCATGCCGCTCGACTCCCACGTTCCCTCTTTCACTTGCTTTCTTCTCGAAAGTTTAAACACGCGCTGACGGCAGAGATCCAATGAAACGTCTGGGCGTGTTCCATTTTGAGCGTGATTCAGATTTCCATACGTTGACAGGTGTTGACAATGAGCGCTACATATATGTAAATTGTAAATTGCATAAGAAAATTGAAGTAAAACAGTGTTTAGTCTCGAAAATATCGTGAAAATTTCTGCTTCAATTCATATCGGTTGAAAAACGTAGGATAAGTATGTACCGCGATCGCAAAGCTGTTAAAAAGATTACGATTCATGTAGCACAGATACGTTCAGTGTGAATAGACACAATTATTTTAGATTGTTTTAGTTTATGCATAGTTTTGTAATAATTTGAAAATTCTTTTGTTAATACATCTCACTGGCTATTTTGCATTAATAATTATTATTTAATACTTTATAATTACATATAGTAATAATCACGTGTTACGATCTGTTAATTTTTTTTACATTGGAAAAAATATATTTTTATACCAGATTTAAATGTCACATATCTTTAATACAAATTCTCTTTATAAAAAGATCTAATTTATAAAAAAACTTTTTATTCCGAGATTTTATTAGAACATACTTTTTTTGGTTTAAATCAGGCGTAAGTAAGATAAATAAAAAACATTGATGAAAACTAATAAGAAGGAGAGGGAGAGTAGTGCCAATAATCCAAAAAAGAAAGAAAATGACATTAATTTTCAAATGCGCTATTGTAAAAAAATTACAAATAATTCGTTTTATTACATGTATTTTACTTCATGAAAATTTTCTAAATAAAGCCAAGATATATATTTGTTCGATATTTATTTACTACAAAACAAATAATTGATTTGCAATCAATTACAAACCTACAATCCAATTCCTAAAGAATTATTAAATGTGTACGTTGATGAAACCTTTTCGAGTTTCACGCATGTAATTAATTAATTTAATTACTATCTAATATTGCTGAATGGGTATACGGCTTCAGGATTCATATTTCCAAACTATGAATTTACAAACTATTTCATTTATGAAACAACTACCGATAATTAATCGGTAAACCAACTACAATAATACACTTGAGCCATTAATAATACCTGTTAATTAATATAAAGAAATATCATTAATATAAAATCGTTTCTAGATTCGTATAATGAAAAAAGTAAAAAAAATCTTCGATTTTTAATGACATGGTGGACTGAATGCGACATCTAGTGGGTGATAAAGAAGCTAGAACGTATAAAAAATTTAATTATTTAATAATATTAATCAGTGTTAAAGAATGTTATAAAGGACAAAAGATCGAAAAATTCCAATAATTATATTATTGTTAAAAATAGGAATCACAGACACTTGCATCAAATAAACTACTATGGGGTAGAAACATTTATTATTTATTAATTTTTCACAGTATTCCTATTCGAATAATTGTGGAACGTCTTACTTATAATTATTTGAAAATTTGAAACATATTTCTCGACCATGTAAACAGATTTCTTAATTATCAATCACTGCTTTAAAAAATACTGATTCTCAGTGAATCGTGAATAACATGCGTGGCGCTTTCTGTGGTCAAGAAATAGTACTCTTTTATCTCTACGGTCGATAAAACGTGATACAAACTTGAAAGATTCATGTCCATTTCTGTAAGTAGATTATTAATCTCGGTTTAACTTATTTTCTAACTTAGAACTAGGAAAAAATGAAAAGTAAATTAAACTAAGATTAAAATTAACCTGCGTTGATAGAAATGGACATCAATTTATTATTATTAATTATAGATTATAAAACTTTAAGAGTTTATGTGTATAATTACTAAAAAATAATTTCAAAAATTGATTTTTATTTTTTAAGCATGTAAAAAAATCATCCCTCTAAAACTAGGCTTTGAAATATTAAACACTATCGTACAAAAACTCTTGGTAACACAAATCGTACATATGGTAATTTCAGTTTAATAATAATAATAATAATAATAACAATAATAATAATGTCATATATATATATATATATATATATATATATATATATAATATATATAATATATATATATATATATATAATATCAATCTTCTTTATTAGTATACTCAACTTTTTGTTTTCACTGGTAGGATTACAAATTTCTCATGTAACGACGAGATATGATTAAAAACATCATCTTACGGAAGATCGAGTGACTGTCAAAAAAATTGCAATTAGCTTAAATTTATATATTATATTATAGGTAATATAATTTTAATTTTACATATTTCATCAAGAGACACGGCAGTGTAGTCTCGCGCCAAGTACGCGCGGAGCGAGACGCACCGTGACTCTTTTACGCGACGCGACGAGTTGCGATAGACATATACGTACATAAATGACACAATAATATTCCATTTTTACTGTTTTAATATTATTTTTGTTTATGCTCGATTAAACGGATAACAATTATAGAAAAAAATACTGCAATGTATACATTATTTCGCACTCTGACAAGAATCACAACTTAAAAATTCAGTTTTAAGGAGAGAGGAAAAACAAATTTAATTAATTTTTTTAATTGTGAGACAACTAACGCAATTACGATATTTTGTTAAAATACAACTTTTTTTTTCATATAGCAATGTCTTTTTCATATGATTTCGTGCAAGACAATATTATATGTGTGACCATATATGTGGAATGTTATTCAAAACGGCGCAATTAATGTATCGAGATACAAAATGTCGTACCAAAAAGTTAAAAATGCTTTAAAGAATAACAAATAAGAACAACAAACGAAATTTCGGAAGTAGATTTTACTTAAGAAAAATTGGCTTTTGCGAAAAATAAATGTAAAAATACAATGTATACATTAAAAGACAGAGGAATGATATATACTTTGCAATAATTAAATAAACATCACAAAAATAAATACGTGATCACTGCTTCTTGCGGCAGTTTCTGCAATGGAAAGACTCGTAAAAACCTGGAAAGACAGCAGAATAACTAAAAATACCCAAGTCCGACTCGTGAAATGCATAGTCTTTCCAATTTTTCTCTATTGAGCAGAGATGTGAACCATTAGCTACAAGAGCGACGGAAAATCGAAGCCTTAAAAATGTGGTGCTGGGTGCTGGCTACTAAGGATCTCCCGAACTGCGCATCGCACAAATGTCTCCATCCTTAAAGAACTCCATAAATAGCTTTCATCAAGTGTGCAATTATGAATTCTTAAGTTCTTCAGTCACATTACACGAAATGAAAGCTCAATGGAGCGACTTGTGGTTCAAGGCCGAGCGGAAAGCAAAAGGTTGCGTGGCATGTGGCAGGTCTCCCGCAAGAAAGACCAACCTTAGAAAAACAGCCACACATAGCTCCCTTATTGAGTGTTCTCGCAATGCAACAGACAGAGCCAAGTGGAGACACATCGCGAGAGCCGCAACTTTCACCAAGGACAAGAACGATACATTTTCGTCGACATAACTCGACCACTCTCTGTCAAGAATGACTAAGAATAATCTGTGTCGCACTGCCTAAAAGAGGGGCAGAAGACATCTTAATTTCTCTAACCCAAAGGACAATCTTGGAGAAAAAAAAACTTCCGTCCCATGCAGCGGATTTCACATACAGAATTGTGACACTATTATAAGACGTAGATAACATCTTAAGCATACTTTTTATGGGCTTACCTCAAAATTGAAATTTTTTGAGTTGTGACAGTATTTTTTTCGGATTGCGATATAATGTATCGAAAGTATGTAAGTTTATTTATTATTTATTATGTACAATGATAAATCGTCACTTTAATTGCATTTTAAGTTATTGTTTATCTATCTATATCAACAATCGATAATCTACAGATATATCTATATCTATTCCTCAATATCAATACCGGCTTAACGAGTCCATTTCATCATTATGAAAAATTGATTTTCACGATTTACTTTAACTTAAGACTGCCATTCATGTATAACATATACAATTTCATGAAGAACTTCTAGAAATTAAATACGTTTTTTTTCATAATTTATTGTAATTTGTAATGAAAATCATTTAATGCTATTTATAGTACTTCTAACATATTGCAATTATTTATACATTAAATAATTAAACTTTGGAATTTTTAGAAATCGTATGTCTTAAAAATATTCTAGATATTCAGAATCTAGATGCAAAACATTTCTGAATTAACCTAAATGTTGTGCGTAAATATAATTATGTTCTGACACATTACTATAAAATATTACTATACCGCTATTTCTAAATGGAAATTATAAGAAAAAGATTTATGAAATATTTTTATGATTTGTAAATAGTATCATAAAATTATTTTTCAACATTTATACAGTTAGCAGTGCAAAAATCTCAATCTCGAAAATTAAATACATTTTCAAATATTTATTATAATGTATATTTATGTGAAAAGTTAATTATTTATTAACTTCAAAAGAAGTAAAGCTATACCTTGATAAAGTGCTGTACAAATTCTATTGCTGCATCTGCATCGGAGTAAGTTGAAGAGGAAAGAAAAATGACTACGGCTGACACGGCTATGCGTAAATATATGAATAAAATAAAAATGTTTGCTAATAAAGATAATAGTCGTTATATAATTTACGATCTACTCTCAGCTGTACTGTATAAAACTGAATTATAAGATTGAAGATTAAATAGTGCATCCTCATTTTCCTTTTCTGATTCGACTTGAGGCATTGTCTGCGTAACGTTTTGCGGTACAAGTTCTTCTTCTTCTTCTTCTTCTACTTCTATGAACACAGTTTCGATATTCGGTTCTTCCAATGCAATATGACTTTCCTCTGATTTCTGTTTAAGAAAATTGGCTGTTTTTGCGTTTCTTCTTCGCTTTTCCTTAGGTCGAGCCTCATGTACTCGCATGTGTCGTCGTAAGTCGTATTTGCCGACAAATCCCATGCCACAATTTTCACATTTGAACGGTTTGCCGTCAGCGTGATTGAACATATGCCTTCTCAATGCTGCGCTCACCGTAAACGCTTTCCCACATACATTACATACGTGGGGCTTTTCACCTGTATGCAATAATGCATGATCTCGTAATGTGGCTCGCTGATTGAAGCTGTAACAATCATATAAAAATTTTAACACCGCGTTATATTCAATCAGATACACAAATATTGTTATAAAAAGGAAATAATTCCAAACTGAAAAGAAATTTACGATACTGTGATATTAATTTATGTTATCCTTTATGAATCATGACATATATAATTATGTGATATACATTTGTAACATTTTTAAATTGAGACATGTTTTTTGCATCATTATATCTTATTTTCAAGTTTACCTATTTATAGCAAACTGTAAATATATGTGCTACAAACCTTTTACCGCAGACTTCGCACGTGTAGCTGCGAGGGTTCGAATGTATCTTTGAATGGTTCAACAAGTTGCCTCGTTGTGAGAATGCCTTATGACAAACGTCACACTGGAATGGTTTCTCACCGGTATGAACCCGTATATGCGTTTGCAGTGTACGATTGTTGGGAAAGCGTTTGTCACAATAATTGCACGGATATTTGGGTAAGTGAAGGCCTTGGGGATCCAAATGGCTGATCAAATGCCGTTTGTAATTACCTTTGTGATTAAATACACGCGTACACTGATTGCAAGCGTAGGGTGTGACATGTTCATGTGTCGTCGCATGAGTTTCCAATTCTGATTTGGACTTGAAGCGGCAACCGCACTTGAGGCAACGGTGCCGTGAAAAGTTGGGATGACATGCCATATGTCTCTTCAGATATCTCTTTTTGGTGTATGCCTTTTTACAAAGAAAGCAAGAGTATGGAAACTCGCCAGTGTGTGTTTTCACGTGCGCTCGCAGCTCCCGATGACTTTTGCAGTCCTTTTCACACACCATGCAAAAGAATGGACCACTGAGAGGGACATGATTATCGACGGTGTGCAGTAATATATTTGTTAGTTGATCGTAGTTCTGCAGACACAATGTGCATTGATATTCAACCCCATTTTCTTGCTGCACTTCCTTTATCCGTATAATCGCATCGCTCACACTGCCTAATATATTGTCTTTACCATCGACAAAGTAGTCAGAATCAGATCCATCGCTATCCTCTGCTTTTATGGATTGTTCAATGTTAGAACTGCTCTTATTGAGTTTTGTTTCTTTATCTCCATTTTGTGGAGATATATCACGTTGTTCTTGTTCACTAATACTTATTATTGTTGTTGTATCTTGATGTTCCCAATAGCCGCATTTATTCCTTGTAGTTGTATCAGATTCCACAGAATCGGAAATACACGCATTGCTTGAGGCTTCTTCGCTTTCCTGTCCAGTCAAGTTTTCCAATTCGGGGATAAATATATCGCTACTATTTTCGATTTCTTCTTGTTCTGGATCGAGTATCAACGTGTTCTCCGCTGAGTCAATCGCAGATTTTGATATATACATTATTGCGACATTCTGCGTTGTAAACATTTTCGAAATTTCTTCAGGTAACTCAGTTTTCACTAACTGTACATCCATCTGGCTCTCATTAGTTTCTTGTATAATATTATAAAAAACATCACTCATCTGTGAACTCTCCTTGTTATCTCCGCCATTGATTTCAATCAACTGAGATACATCAATTTCGTATTGTTCTTCATCCTTGAACTTCTCATCTGTCATTTTAACATTTATATACTCAAAATCAGCACTGCTTATAGACTTTATATTGCTTGACGTATTTAATTCCAAGGATCCATCTGTTTTTACACTGCTATCTCCGTTCTTTTCACTCAACTCTTCTTTCTAAAAAAAAGTGCAAACGTTATGACTCTTAAAAGCTATCTTTCAAATGACTTTGTTTTTTAACCATTTATATTATTCAGATATGGATAAATCTTCAACATCAATAGTGATCAATTATTCAAAATTTACTTGTGCAAGTCATTCAACAGATATAAATTATAAATTAACGTTATTTTTAATGTCCGTCACAATACCTTCACAGTGCACATTTGCGTTTCACGTATCATCCGAAGTTTCTTGTCTGACTCTTGCACTGCCAGTCTGAAGTTATATAAAACATTAGTTCGGTAGGCACACTTCGGGCAGAGCATATTGGGCAATCCATCAAACCTATCAATCTGTTGAAAAAAATCTTATTAGCATACTGTAAACTAATTAAGTTATATAGCGACATAAATAATCGCTTTTCTCAAAATAGTCAATATAAAGAAGTTTTATTGAATTTCAATGCTATGCAAAACACTCATTTGACATTGAAGTATTAATCGTGGTGATCAATGAAATTAAATCCCTCAACATACTAGACGTACTAGACACGTCTGTGGACACGATTGGTCAGGCTTGAGAGATCCGCTGAAAGCGCTTGTTGAGGTTAGGATGCGGAAGTCTTGCATTTTTATAAATTTTCTACGCAAATTATCGCACAGCAAAGCGCGATATTCTGAAACAAACGAGCGTTACCTGAATGGACGTGAGCTGCGCGAGCTTGTACGGTAGATTAATCTTGCTGATGACTTTATCATCGTACATGGGAAACATCTTGCCGCCTTCCTTCATGCAAGCGCGGCACTTATTCATGCAGGAATCATTCCTCGAGCTCACACTTTGCCACGACATGACGATGGCTCTCGAAGATGTTGAATAGGAGCAGCGAAGAATCCAGGCGAATTATCACGCGATAATCGTGCACACCGATGTTTGACCCTGGTCGCGTCACTCGCGTCTCTCACAACTCAACAACTCGCAATTGACTCGAGTCTCATCTCGTGATTGGCCACAGATGACTTCTTCCTTCTTCTTCTTCTAGATCTGGATTGGGCGCGTTCAGCTGACCAAACCGCTCAGTAGCAGCAGAGATGAGGGGAGAGATGACCAGAGATCTTCTTCTTCGTCTCGTTATTGGCACAGCTTTCCTTTCGTATTCGCATCAGCCATTATTCGATTCGATTAGATGTGTGTTCAGCAGATGGCGTAAGCCATGATTTTAACTTAGAGGGGGGTGAGTAAGGCGGGAGATTTAAATGTATAGTTCGCAGGAGTAGAAAAAGGAGAGAAGCAAACGACACAGCTTTGGAGTCGGATTCATAATAAGGGGAAATATGTTCATAGGGTGAGTTGGAAATTTTTCTCGTAGATACCTATAAAGAGGGGGAGTTTTGTACCGAGTTAATTCACATCTAAATTATATGATTAGCATCTTGATATGGGTCTCCACAATGACCAGAGATGACCAACGCTTCGCAAAATCCTGTCCACGAAGTTTAAGCTAGAGTTGCTATAAACACCGACGAGATACTATTAAAGACCGACAACCCTGGGGTAAATTTTCGTGACTGCCCGGGGGCCCGGTGGTAATTGAAAAATACTGACATTATCGACTGTTTTGGCTATTCGACTATTCCAAAGAAGGGAGTTT